CACACACACACACACACACACACACACACACACACACTCACGTGCTTTCCTCTATAGCCAGCAGTGGCTTCTTGGTTCCATCAGTGGCTCGACTTTCCCAGAAGAAAGCCCATCAGCTCTGCAGGGAAAGAGGGGGGGAGGAGGAGAGAGAGAGGAAAGAGAGAAGAGAGGGGAGCAGGAGAGGGAGGGAGGAAGGAAGGAATCTGGAACAGGTAGAAGGAACAGGCTAAAGGAGGGAAAAAAAAAAAACACCACAGCACTGAGAACCAAGGTGACTGTGGAGATACCACAGAAAGCAGAGAGAGGAGGGGGCAGCAGACCCCAAGGCTGTGCCTCACCCCCTCATCCCCAACACACGCAACTATCTAGGACCACTTCCTAACCTGGGGGCTCCCCACATTCCTCTTTCTCCTCCTCTTGTTCTCCCCTTTATCTTCCCAGCCTGGTTACTGTGAGCAGTGGAATGGGGAGGGGGTCACGTTACCTTCCCGAGGAGGATGAATCAGAGAGATGGCTCAGACATCTGGAGGGGGGAGGGGAAGCCATCCAAGAGAGAAGGAAGAGGGGAGGGAAAGAGCCAAGGGGGGCAGACTGAGAGGCTGATGGGGCTAAGAACTAAGTGTGAGATGAGGGAAGACAGGCATCTAGATAAGCGGTTTGTGTTCCTGTGGGCTTGTGTATGTGCACAGGCACCTATGTGTGCATGTGTGTTTGTGTGTGTGCAGAGTTTAATGAAACATGGGGGGGTGGTGGAGAAAGGGAATTGGAAGACCAGTTGTGTATTTAATCAGATAGAGTGGATAGGCATGATAGTGTTCCACTTTAAATATGAAATCTCTTGCAATCTATGTGGCCATGTTTGTGCCTGTTTCCAGATGGCATTGTATAAGTATGAGTGCATGTGGGTTCCAATCCTTCTGAGTGTCTGTATACCTGTGTGGTTGGGAAGCTTGAGTGTGTCCAGTCTGGGCATCTTCTGCTGTCCAAAAAGTGAGCCAGGCTTGGTGTGTCACGTGTGTGTGTGTGTGTGTGTGTGTGTGTGTGTACATATGTGTCTTTGTTTATTTCTGAGTCTTTCCATGCTTTCTGATTTATGTTAGAAGTTATACAGATGTCTCTGTGTCTTTGATCTTGCCTGCCCCTCCCCCACACTCACCATCTCTAGATTTCTGTGCAGTAAAGCCACTCATCCGCAGTCCCCAAGTTCGGGTCTTTGCCCCCTTGTTTTCAGAGCGTTCCCTTATTCTTCCATTCTTCCCCCAGTTTTTCACCCCTTCCTTCCTCCACTCAGCCCAGAGCCCAGGGGAGCTTCTCAGACACTGACATCCCAAGAATCTCAGCTACCATGGGGTGGGGAAGGGGGGCAGCAAGGTGGAAGCCAGGGCACCCCCCCACACACAATAGGGTTGGTGATTCCACAATCTGGATCCCGTCTGTATGGACTCTGAATCTCTGGGTCTGTTTCTGCCTCTCTTCATCTCAGTTTCCTACCTGGGTATGCTCATTCACACACACCCCACCTCTCAGAGATGTGCTGTGCCCTTCATACCCTGCTGACTCCAGGGGCTTCTGGAAAAGAGCTGGACCTGGGGACAGTTGGCTGGAATCGGTAGAGGAAGGAGAAGGGAGGAAAGATAATGGAGAGGCAGAGCTGGAAAAGGCAATGCTGAGATGGAGAGCTGGAGGGGATGCCTGGTGTTTGCTCTGAGTTATTTGTATAAATCCCTCTCTCTGTCTTTGTTTCTGAATCTCTCATACTCTCCAAGAGGGCAGCAGGAGAAGATGGGGTCCAATGGAGTAGTGATCCAAACTGAAGATTTGGAAAGCCAGGGGAGGGGGGTGGACAGACCCCTGTGTCTTTTCCCTGGGAAGGCTTGGAAGAGAAAAAGAGGGCAGGGGCTTGGGGACCCCGCAGCTCATCGTCCCCCCATCCTTCCCTTCCCCCCCAACCGGTGACTCACCTCTGCAGCCTTTCATTGCGTCAGCGATGGGGGGACAGGCAGAGAGGGGGGCACTTTATGAGAGGGGCAGGGGTCTCCAGTTTGAACTGAAAGAAGATGCTGAAGGTCTCCCCTGAGAATCATTGCCCTATCCCCTGCCCAGCCCAGTTCAGTATAGTGGGGAGTACTGGGGAGGGGACCAAGAGGGGGCTGGGGGCCACTGGTGGGTGTGGGAATGATGAGTAATAGGAAGGGGGTGCTCATCCTGATTTTCAGTTCCAGGGTCCCATTCTCTCATACCCCCACCCACTCCTGAGTGGGGGATGGGAGACCCAGCAAGCCGGGGGAGGGCAAAGCCGCAGAGATGAGTCACCAAGAGAATGAGAGAGAGAGAGAGAAAGAGACAGAGATGAGGGGAGACACAAAGAGAGACAGCTTCTGGAGAGACTGAGAAGGAAAAACACACACGCCATGAAGATGATATCCACAAACTAACCAGAGATAGCAAATTGTGTACTTTCATAATTCTGCCCTAGCCTCCTCCAACATCCACCTGTCACACACAGACATACTGTTATTCAGAGTTACACTGATGTTCTGAGACACACCCACTTACACAAACACAATATCACACCTAGCATGGCAATGTTACTCAGACACATGCTGAAGATGTGACCAGGGCAGTGGAGATTTGCGTTGAGAGCCCTCGTTCCTTTTACATGGGATGGTGGGAAGAGGTAAAAACCCTAAGGGAATGTGACTTCAAAAATCCAAGACGCGGTTTCAGGGACTCACAGGCTACGCCTTGCACACACGACGATACAGTTGCCTACCTCCCCATCCACACATACATAGTGACATATCAAATATCCTCCTCATCAAAAAGCCACTTGGAGTACCTGATTCTGGGGCACACCAGGCACGTTGTCCCGAATACATCCCACCCGGACACCCTGTGACTCGTACACACATGTACAGAAACGCAGACACACAAAGACGCCCATGGACACACTCACACAGACGGAAACCACCTTGCGCTGCCTCGCCGGCGTCCGCGCGTCCTGGCGCCCCCGCGTGTTACTTTTCGGAATCGCAGTCTCCGGCGCTCCGGAGCTTGGCTCCCGGGGGGCGGTGCCCAAGCTCCCTCCACCTCCTCCCCCTTCCGCGGGGTGCCCACCCAGGAATCCGGGAAGCGAGCGCTCAGGCCAAGAGAGCCGAGAGCCGCGAGTTAGACGCCTGGATTGTGGGGCTGAGGGAGGCCGGTCCTGGATGCCAAGGGAAACTTGGGAGAGAAGCCCATAGAATTTGGATAGCAGCGGACTCCTAGGTCCAGGGGAAAGAGAGACCCGGGGTTGTCAGGGCTCCGCGTAGCTGCCCTCCTCGCTCCAGAGCAACCGCTTCTTTCTGCCGCTGGGCTGGGGTGGGGGTGGGGGCGCGCAGCGGCCAGCAGCCCTCTCCAGCTCCAGGAAGTCATTAGCCCCATTGCCACAGGGCTTAGAGATCCTCTCTAACACAGGCTGCTGGGGAAGGGGGGGGGGATAATGCGTCTCATCCTTCCCCCACCGAGAAGTGAAACAGACACAGAGGGTGGGCTAAGGGTCCGTTTTATTGCAATACAGTCACGGTTGAAGTGACAGGGAGGGTGGCAGCATGGCCAGACGCCGAAGGCAGCAACAGCAGAACCGGAACTGGGGAAAGTGATGAAGCAGCGGCTGTCCTCTTTGCCCACCTTCTTCCACCTCCAGGCGCCCTTCTCTGTCCACGTCTTTGATTCCACCCCCAGCGACGCCTGTGCTTGCTGTTAACAAATCCCCACCAACTGTCCATCGTCCAGCAAGAAGTTCCAGCACTCACGGTCCCACGGAGTGAGGTTCTGAGGCATGCTCAGGGCTTGGGACTCCGGAATTCTAGGCCCTACCTGGCTCCAAGCTACTTTGAATGACTTGGAAGTCACTTTGATCTTTGCGAACCTGTTTCCTCCCTCCGTGGTAGATATGAACATCCAGTGTAGGAGACAGCGCTGTGTACTTCCAGCTGTTACTACTTGGACTCAAATAGAAAACTGCCAAAGTCCAAAAAGCCTAAAGAAACCAGAGGAAGGGAGGGATGTCCAGAAATAACCGACGGTGGGGGTTCCAGTGGCGCTAGAAGGCAGCCCGGTCAGAACCGGAGAACAGCCCCATACTGGGCTGAGGAATCTGCACTCCCACGCCAGACTCTCGAACCCAACCCCGCCCCCCCCCCGTCCATGGCCTAGTTCAGGCCACTGGTTGGGGGCATGGGAAGGGGGCCTCTGGCACAGCAACATGGTACAAAGTTGGAGGAAACCCGTCAGAGGGGGCAGGCTTGGAAAGATGCGTCCCTGGAGGGTCAACAGGGCATTATAATTCTAGTTCATTGACAGGCTCCGTATTGCAAACGGGGTGAATGATGAAAAGGTCATGGGGAAGAGGAATGGAGGAGCAGACAAATGGGCCACGGTGGGGCTAAGTGTCTGGGAGGCCCGGAGGAGGAGGGTGGGGACACAGAGGGACACAGAGGGAAGGAGGGAGAGGATAGTGATGGAGAAGCGCAGGAGGCCGAGAGGGAGGCAAGGAGCAGAGTGCTGGGCAAGCTCTGAGAGCTCGAGAAAGGGCGGGAGGAAGAAAAGTAATACGTGTTGGGCAGCTGGGCATAGCACATCCTTCTGCCCGCTCCCATCCGCGAGGGGGCAGAAGGGAGAAGCCAAGAAGGGCCGAATTCACTGTCAGGCCAAGGCGGCGGACAAGGAAAGGCTCTGAAGTCTGGGATGGAACCCACTCTTCGGCCAGTAAGGGGGAAAGGGTGGACAATCGCAGCGCAAGGGCCTCCCCCAAACCCGGCGGTTCGGATCAAGGCGTGGGCAACAGCTTCGGGTCGCGCCAGAGAAGTAAGGGTAAAAAGTTAGGGCGCTGCGAGTAAGGTGAGGCTTCAGAGCCGACCGCGGAGAGCAGGGGCAGGGGGCGGAGCTTGCGAACAGAGGGAGTCGGGGCTTTCTGCAGATCTGAAGTGCTGCTTCTGTCCCCTCCGATAGGACACGCCTTAGATGGCGGCCTCCAGCAGGTGCTGCTCCATATCACCCTTGACCAGCTCGAGCCCCCGGCCGGCCTGGCAGAAGTCAGCCAGCTGTGACCATAACTGGGGCGCTAGGAAAAGCCGGCACATGACGATGAGGCCGGCGAGGCGCGGGGCCCGGCGCTGCAGATGCTGCAAAAGCTGGCTCTGCACCTGCGCGTCATCGCTGCCGAAGGCGCTGATGTTGAGGTAGCGCCACGTGCCGTCACCACCATGCGAGATGGGAAAGGGGCGCGTGCACAGCGTGAGCACGCGGGACTGTCCACGCGCCACTCCAGGCCTTGGCCGCCAACCGGCGCGGGCTGCTTTCCCTCGGCCTGTAGGGATGCCAGTCCTGGATGATGGTCCCTCCTGGAAGCTCGTCGCGCTGTGCGGAGGGCGACAGCAGGAGGCGTGCCTCTGAATATGTACCTGGATCCCCAAGGAGGGGCGAGGTCGGTGTGGGGCCCTGGGTCTCCGAGGGGAGGGGAAGGGTGGGAAACAGATTATTCGGTAGGATAAGGGAGGCGCAGGGAAAGGACAAAGGCCCAGATCAGGATCTTTGGGTCCCTGAAGGGAAGCAGGAGCAATAGAGGGGAGGCAGGGTCACGGAACTCCGGACGCCGGGACTCGCCAGCCAACTGGAGTAAGGACTGAGGGTTGGAGGGCTGGGAGTCGGGAGCTTTTTGACTGTCATTAGACAAAAGGGCCTGGGTCCGGTCTGCGAGTCCCGGGGCAGGGCTCACGGGCGCCCCCACTCGGCAGACCCAGCAGAGAAAGCAAGCCGGTGACTGCGCGAGGCGGGAGGACGTCTGGTTATCCGAGCTCCCGGGTCCTTCTCACCTGCTGCGTGATGGGGCGGTATTTCTTCAGCTCACGGGGGCCTAGCTGGTTGTCCCGCGTGAGCTGTGTCACCTTGACCCCCAGGTGCTGTCGCGCTACGCCCTTGCCGCGCTCCCTGGGTGCCACGCGCAGCCCCTCCACCAGCACGGTCTCCCTGGCGTCGATCAAGGGCACCGACTCCAGAACGATCTGCGGACCGACGCCGTTAGGGGGCCCTCCGCCCCACCCGGGTCTCTCGGCTCACGGGACTCGCCTCTTCCCACATGCTGAGTACTCCGTCGTCCCCACCCCGGGCGCCAGGCCAGGCCCGGGCCTGCCCGGGGAGATCTCCTCAGCCCTCGGGTCTCGAATTCCAGAGCCAGCCCTTCCATCCCGGTCTCATCCACCTCTAGAGAGGATCCAGCTCCTCTTACACCGGGTCCCTGGGCATCGCCACACCCCTTTTCCTTGGCCCCAGCCCCAGGAACTTGCTACGCCCCCTAGTCCCTGCCACGCCCCCTGTTCTTCTTAGCTCCGCCCCGACCCCCCTCTAGCAGCCCGGCCCGCTCGCAGTTTCCAGATGCCTTTTGAGAGAGAGTTCAGTCCATTCAGGGGTCCTGACCCCGCTCTTGGTCTCACCTCCAGTCTACCTTCTTTTGCCTGCTCTCCTCTTTTTATGCTCCTGCCCCCCAAAACTGCTCAAACGAATCTTCAAACACCGAAGCTCTCACCAGTCCCTCCCTCTGGTTCCTCCACTCTTCCCAGGACTGCGCTCATTGCTGGGCCCCTGGATCCACACGCCCGACTCTTTGGTTCCAGAGCGGACTGGCTCCTCAGGCCTCCTCTCCTTCCTAAGATCCCAGTCACCAAACGTAGCTTCACCCCGCTTTTACCGGCCCCGGCTCTCACCACTCCTTTACGCTTGGCCAGCACCACGGTGCCGTCGGGATCCCGGAGCCGGCTGTGGTAGTGGCTGGGAACGTTGTAGTCGAGGCCTACTGGAGATGCCCCCCGAGATGGCCAGCACCTCTTCAAACTCCCGTCCTGTGCCACCACGAAGACCAAAGGGTTGGCCTTGGCGTCAGGCCCGGATCTGAACCTGGGGTTGGCCCCCAAGGGCTTGGCCTTGGCCTCAGGCCCTGACTCAGCCCCTGGGGTCTCGCTCTCAGCCTCAGGCCGTGATCCGGATCTGGACGTGGCAGCCTCCCCCTCCAGCCGTCTGAATGTGGCTCGGCATCTGACTTGGCCTTGTTTTCAGGCTTAGGGACCTCTGAGCTGGCTGCACCACACCTGGCTTCCAACTTCATTTCCCTGCAGAAAATAGACAACCCAGTGTTGTGGTCAGAGCCCCTGTTTCCACATGTGGCCCCCTATACCTCCAGTCCCCACAGCCCTTTCCTACACAAATACCCCTTCTCTTCTGCTCTCCACACAGACCCCGGGAATACAGGGCCTCTGGCTCTGGCAAGCTCCCAGAGCTCCCAAATCTACCAGGGGATTCCTCAACAGTCACAAATCGGGAAACCCATGAGCTCCTCAGAGACTGTCCCGAGATCCCCTTCACATCCAGCTGCCCCTAAGGGACTCAGACAAGGGGCAAAAGGCCCTTGAAGGGGTAAAAGATTGAAAAGGTCCCACCACTTCTCCAAGACTTCTGTAAGAACATGAGAAACCATCATCTCCACTCTCCCTACAAAAGGAGTCCCTGGGGAAAACAGAGGGTTCCATCCCTCCCTTTCCTACCACTGCCAGTCACAATCCCAGAGCAAAGGGGGGGGGGTGGGTATAAACTCCAGATCTTCCCCTATTGCCAGTCCAGTACCCTCCACTCCCACCTCTGACACATACATTCAAACATAAACCAGAGTGGACAGTTGGATAGGTCCATTAGAAAATTTCAAGTCATTCCTCCCAGGCTGATCAAAACGCCCTTCCCTTCCTCCTGCTGGAGTTTGTTCCCTCCTTCGCCGTAGGGAGACCTGGCTCCCCTCTAGGGCTAGATGATCATTTGGGGAAAGGCTCTGTTGGAGCTCTGGCAAACAGAATGTCCACAAAGATCACCTATGCCCCTCTTCCATTTACCTTCCCTCCAGAGAGTCTCTTCTGATTTTCTCTCTCCCTCTGTTCTTCTTTCTAATTTCTTCCTATAATTCTTACCCTATCTTCTACTCAAGATTTTCTGTGTCCTTCTTATTCTCATTTTTGGGTCAGCTCCCCTGGATCTGTCACCGTTTGGCCTCTTCTGTTTTCCCTGCCAGAAACAGGGCCAAGAGAAAGCCCTTCCCCAAGTCCTAATGGCTCTTCATTTCCAGACCTCTCCCCTCCAGACCAACCAAATCAACCAATTAAACCCCCCTTCTCTCTTTCAGCCAGTTATAACAGTCCCTTCCTACAACCTACCTCAAGCCTCATTAACCAACATCCCAGGAGACACATCTACTAGCTACTTTGTGGGGGATGATACTGGTTGGTTTGTTTGTTTGCTTTTTTAACAAGCACACTGCCTAGGTTTGGGAGAGGGGACAAACAATGGCACTAAGGAGTTTAGGGATGGTCTTAGCTCCCACACCATAAACAGCTTACATAACTACAGCATGCTTGCTATACAGATGAAACTTCAAAACAAAAGCCCCATGTCTAAGGCCCTCCTGGGTAATCCTTACCTGGCTGAGGTAAGACAGCATCAGGTCAGTATCATCAGAAAGAGGGGAAGCAAAGACTCAGAGGATCTTATAGCCCCTGCTAGAGCCACCTGAGACCATCAAGTTCATCCCACTTCTTTAACAGTGAGGAAACAGACACCCAAAGGAGGCTCAGATCTGGCCTAAGGTGACTCCGCTTGGATAGAGCCAGGCTTGAGGTCAAGGTTAAGTTTTCCTGGCTCCCAGGCCAGTGGGGGAGTGTATTTTTGGTGTATTTGGGCCTCCAGACCCAGGCAGAAGAGCAAGGACAGGAATTACTGGGTCCTTCCTTGGCAGGAGTCAAAGGTCCCAAGAACTAAAAGCTCAGAACCAGAGATGGGGTCCTTGGGAGGAAACCCTAGTGCCCCCCCACCCCCACTGTCAGCACTTCCATGCCAACAAGCCTGGGACCAGCTCAAGCATCAGATTCCTTGTGGCAGGCTCTGGCAATGATGGGTCTCAGAAATGAGCAAGTTAGCTTGTGGCTTCCGTCTACATTTCCAGGCAACCTCACTAGTAGTTCACGGGTCCCTCAAAAATACCAGCTGGTAGTTCCGTGCTGAGCTTGGCAATTTCCTACAGCCCCCAAAGGGGACAGAAAGTGAGCAACTTGGAGACAGGGACCCATCCAACTGATTCAAGACATTCGGTTACCCTCCTTTGCTTTCAAGTCGGGGAGACTCTTTCCAAAGGGTGTGTCTTCATCTTGGATAAGGTTGTTTGTAAGGAGGTCACAGGAAGAAGGAAGAGCTTGCAAATTCATCTCTCTCATTTTCTTCCTAGGCACTCCTCTATACCTATTCCCTTTTGGGGGGACAGGACACAAATGTTCCAAGTTCCTTAAGCCCTGGGGGAGGTGAGTGCTGGGAACAAAGCAGGCCAGAGGCTCCAGGCCAAGCCAAAGCTGCTGGCTGGCCCCACAACCCTGGCTCCACACTCTGATCCCTTTCCATCCCTCAGGACAGTGCCCTCCAACCTGACTCCTTGAACTGTCATTCCCATAATGTATCTAGGCAGAGGGAGCCCGTGCCCCCAGGGCACTGCAGGAGATGTAGTTCAGGCATCTCCTGGACTGAGCTCCGGGAAGAAGGACAGCGTTTCCCTTGCCCTCCGTATCCCCGCATTCTTGGATCCATTCTTTCAATCTTATAAATATGAATACTCACTCTGGGAGGGGATGATTAAAGTCCTCGCTGGGCATGCCGGGAGGCCCCCACCCCACCTCCACCGCACCCCACACACCTGAAATATTGGTGCCCTTGAGGTCGACAGTTCTCGGAGCTGGAACAGGGAGTAGAGGGAGCAGACAGCGGAGAGGCGGAGACAAAGAGACGGCAGCAACACAAAGCACCCAAAGAAGAGAGCAAAAAGGACAGGAGGGGAGGCAGGAAGGAGACAAAGGCGGACAGGGAGGTGCGGGGCAGGAGAGGATGGGAGAGGGGAGTGGGAGGAGGCACGGATACCAGACACAGACATGACACCTCGTGACTCTGGGCCAAGCAGATGCCAAAAAAAAAAAAAAAAAAAAAGTCCTAGCAATGCACCCCCTCCCCAGGGAGACCATAAATAGAAAGCAGCGACACACCCCCTTCTCCTCACAGTGCGCAATGGGGGAAGGGGTCAAGGGGAGGAGAGAGCCAGAAAAAGAGTCAGGAAGAGAATAGAGACCTCGGGAACAGAGGCGGGGGAGACAAGATGAAATGGGGCACAGGCAGGGGATGAGGAAGACAGACCAATGAGCCATGGGGGGTGCCCCAGAGCCACTGCCATGGATTAGGGGCTGTCCTGGAGGGTTTTCCCCAGTCTTTCCTCTGCCCCTTCCCAGGAGTGGGGAGTAGGGGCGGGGGCAGGCGGGACAGAGCTTCCGAAGGAAGCTTTCTACTTGGCAGGGGTCCCCGTGGGCGCCAGGCTCAGGGGACAGGTGGGAGCGCAATGACGACGGGATGGGGGAGGGATGACGGACGGGAAAGTGCCTCTGAACATGTAGGCAAAGTCCGGATCCCAGTTATCTAGGTCACCGGACCGGGAGGGGTAGGACTGTAGGGGGCACAGCGGCTGTCTTCCCCTGGGGGGGGCGGTGGCCTTCTGCTACCCCCGTTCCGCGGAGGAGGAGCACGCCAGCCCCCAGCCCCCAGGCCCGCGGCCCCCTACCTCGCCGGAGCCGGAGCCCGGGCCGGGATAGCGAGACACGGAGCGGGGCAGGCCACGCGGACAGCGAACGGTGTCGGGAGTGGGGTCCCTTCGGAGCCCCGAGGGTCGAGTTCGGACGACGCGGGGGACCGGAGCAGTCCCAACTCGGAGTTGGAGCGCGGATGCCGGGTCTGCGCCGCGGCTCAGTGCCGCACGCGGGCGGGAGGTTCGGGGTTCGGGTGCTGCGGGCGCCTCCCGCCGCGACGCTCTGCGGGGCCCGTGCTGCGGCTCCGAGGGGCGGAGACCCTGGCGACGCGGAGGAAACCCGGCCCGGATCTGGAGTGGACTCAGGGCGGCCTGGGGGCGGGTGGGTGGAGAGCAGGTTTCGGGCAAGGTGGGGGTGGGGCATGCGGGCCCGGGGGCCGGCGCAGCTGGGTGGCCTCAAGTCCGGCCGACGAGACTTCGCCCCTTGCTCTGGCTGGGCAGCGGGACTAAGGGTGGGAGGTACCTAGGGTTTTGGCGGAGGGGTTGACTGCTGGCTTAGTTATCACCCCACACCCCCAGCACCTTTACACTCTGCCCCCGGGCCTCCTCTCCCCGCCCCCCCCCACCGCTTTCGCAGCCCTCCCTCCTCCAGGCGAAACCCCCTCAAACTAATGCCAGTGCCAGGTAAGTCAGAGCCACTGGAGAGGGCACACAGAGCCCTGGGGACTAGGTCGGAGAAACAGATGGAGGAAATTGGACACGCTTGCAGATGGGGGTGCGAGAAGACACCGGGAGACAGATGGGGATGGGAGCCCCTCTCCCTCGCCCTCCCTCCAGGGTCTGCCCAGCTCTCCTGCTCCCTCTTCCCACCAATCTCTGATTCCCCACCTATCTTTTCCCACTTTTTAAAATACTTTCCAAGGTGATAACTCCGTTAACCTGTTACAGCGATCCAATAGGCTGTGCTAATGTGATCAGGTGGGGGGCGGGGTTCGTGTCCTCTTCCGGGGCTCCCAGACACATGGCCACGCGGAGAGTCATCCTTGGAATTCTAGGCCCAGGTAGGCCAATAAATAACTGACAAGTCACTTAACCTTCTTATTTTTCTTTTTTCTTTTCTTTTTTTTTTTTTTAACTTTTTATTTCTGTAATCGCCGCACCCAATGTGGGGCTCGAACTCACGACCCCGAGATCAAGAGTTGCATGCTCCACCGACTGAGCCGGCCGGGCGCCCTCTTCCTTCTTTTTTCTTAATATGACTTCTCCCCATTTCTTATTTTTTAAAAAAACTGCTAACACCCTGCCCATCTCCCAAAACCGCGGGTAAGGTGGAACGTGCTCCACGGTGGCACAGCTCCTCAAAAAGTTGGCGGAAAAAGTCACAGGCGGCAGGAGGGAGACGCAACCAGGCTCTAATCCCTCCCTTTTCCCCCAGAAGCCACGCCTTCTGCCACCAGAAGCTCTGGGATTGGCTCAACGTTCACCACTTCCAGTTCCCTCAGCCAATGAGA